CAATGGTGAGTAAAATTGTGATTCATTTAATGACGTCGAAATAACATTCTTGATATCGCAGCGACCCGCTTGTCCAAACACTATTATTATTAATTTTTTATTTTATTTACATCTTGTATATTCTACGAAAGCGATAATAAATAGCTTGTTTTACGAGAATACCGAAGATACACATGTGATTAACACAGTGAACTCCTAGTGTTTGTTATTTTTTGTACAGCGTATTAACTAAGGTGTGTATGAGATACTGTACTATTAGGTGGATTTTTAAGATCATCAATCCCCGGGTCTTACCGATCGGTATGATCGATACCCAGGCTTTCCATTAACTAAAGTGAGGATGCACCCAATACACTTACGTAACAGAAAAGCAGATCCTGCTAGAATCCTAGCTGTACCAAAGCTAATACTTAAAACCTAGGTAAAAGTGTTACTACGAGATATTGTCCTATTAAAAGCAAAGAGTGCCCACGCTATTGAAGCGGACTTCTTATGTGCTAATAATTATTTTCTGGACCACCTCTCATTTAAGGCGCAATTTATGACTACTAAGATCATTATAATTAATCGATCAAATAATTAAAATAATAACTGAATGGAATAAATAACGAACTATATTTTATTTCTTTTATTTACTATTAAATCAATATTCAAAATTATGAACAAACATAAGTATCAATAATGATTATAATTAATAATACATGACATGTATAGTTACCATGATTGTATCCTGTATATTAATTACAAACAAAACAGTAGAAACTGTATATATAGTTGTGTCATCTCCCTCTCTCCCAAACAAACTGTGCTGCGCCCGATAGGGTCCATAATTGTTGCCGCTTAAATTGATATCACCTATGTATTTACATTATGGAAGCAATAAACTATTGAGTATTAAATCCTCATTGGTGGTAACAGTCAAGGGGCTGTCCACACGAATGAAAAATAAACCTTTTGTAAGTGATGTCTCCGAAACCCTATATTCTAAACCTCTGTAAAAATGAGAGAAGCAATGAACATGCATTAGAGGATGAACCAGCCAACCACTAGTGCTGATTTCTGTGTTAAATAGCGTCCCGGCTTTACGCACTTCAAAAAATCTTAATAAATAACAGAAAGAAGGATAGTTACACTATTTACAACTTAAGAACGGCTTAAAGTAATTAAAATACCATTATGAACAACATTAATTCACTCAAATATTATGTATGAAACCTAACACGCAAGAAGAGCTAACTACTAGTTTTATAGAACTACTAGTTTTATAGAAAAACAAAACTTTGACTCGATGAATAAGCTATATTTAAACACTATATACACGAAACAAGGAAGAAAAAAGGTGTACCTCACTCGCAGGGGGCGGTGGACGTCGACGTCACACATGATCGGAAGATTGACAGCGAAACCACAAAATTGAGCATCTTTTTGTAAATTTTTCTAATTATAAGAATTTTGGAGCGTAAAATTGCTTTTTATTTTCACAGTCAGTATTCTCGTATTAATGAACGGCAAGTAAGTCGATGCCCTAGGGTTCAAATATAAAGCCGTGGAAATCTCTAAAAAATAAACGTCATATGTGATAATAACCATCTATCATGAAGAAGTACCTCTTTGAAATAATTTTATGACTAGAGCGTTTCCATATATTCTGCGATTTATGTATGTATTAGTATAGTATATGGTTATTCTATATGATTTTTCGACATTATGATAAATATATCTGAAGAACGGGTTATCGTCTGCGGTATTTCCGGATCGATACGACCTTCAAACCTTTAAGAAAAGAGGGTACTCCTTCCTAAAAGGCCAGAAACGCGTTTGTGACGCCTGAGTTGCAGACGTTCATGGACGGCGATGGTCACTTTCCATCAGGTGACCCGTCTGGGCCTCAATTCTGCCATTTTATGTTAACGCCAAGCCACTGTCATTCCATTGACACGCTATTGAGATGTCATTGAGACGCCATTGACATCGGTCAAAATATCAGTATTCTACTAACATCAATTCACAGTGTCAATAGACTGTCGATATAGTAATATAGGTCATCAATGATGATTTCAACAAAATTGCTATACCTGAAAAAAGAAATGTAAGTTTCTTACAAATTTAAAATGTACCGTTTACTAAACTGTTACAAAGACATCGTCGACTTTTGTTTCAGTGAGAAGTCATCAGAATAGGAAAAGTGCACAACTATTCCGATGACATTCCATCGACAGTCTATTGATACAATATTAAAATAGCAGAATTGAGGCCCTGCTCGTCTGCCCCTCTAATATCGAATAGCTGGCAATTTTATAGAATAGGTGGGCCTGTTGGTCTTAGTAGTCAGTGATTCCAATCTAGAAGTCGTGGGTTTGATTCCCACACAGACAAATAATTGTGTGATGAGTGTGCGCGATCATGTGTTTTGAGTCTGAATGTAATTTATCTGTATGTATGTATTTAAATAAATATAAGTAAGTACGTTAATGGGCAATCTGGTTAACACAGTACTAGTAAAAGCTGTGCAGCGCAAAATAACTTCATATTAAAAAAAAACTGTCAGGTTTTTCTACGGGATAATTTGGGTAAAAGTAGTTTAAAAAAATGTACACTGGAAAAAATCTATTGTGGCAAGTTATTGAAAAAAATCAAACAGGTTGGAAAAACCGGTTTACTGAAAGAAATTAGGGAAAAACAACTTTAATAGAAATGCAAAATACAGGTTGTAGTGTGAGAAAAACGAAGAAAATAAGACTTGCTGAAATGCAGCAATTTTTCCGCGAGCGCTCCTAGTAGACAGCAGAAGGGGGCATGGCCGCGGCGTGGGGGAACTCTCTCTTTCGCATTTTGAAATTCCCCCGGAGCGAAATTCATGCTCATACTCCCTCTGCAGCCTACTAGGAAAAAAAAATCTTTACGTCTTCAGGGCTCTGTCGTGCATCTGGAAGATTAAATTTTTGTAGAGGTTAACGAAAAAATAGCATTTTTTTTAAATAGTAGTAAGATGCTTTCTTACCAATCACGCATGGGTTAATATTATTGTGCGACGAATTTTTTTACAAAAAAAAACTGTATTAAATGCCTGTATAAAATTGAAGCCCCGAACTATTTCCTATGAGCCCTTCATTGCTGGCTTCAGCTACTTTTATTTTCTTTGTTTTTTCTCACACGTTTTTAAAATTGTTTTTTCCTGTTTTTTTTTTCAATAAATCGGTTTTTCGCACCTGTTCGATTTTCAATAACTTCCATCGAACCGAATGCTTTTATCAGAATTATGACCAGCCAGTCTATTTTTTTCGATCTGAATATTCTCAGCCTGTAGTATACAGGCTGTGCCTAGTTTGAGATCAGACGGTCGTGTGTGAGATGTGTGAGGTTATTATTGTTTTTGTTATTTTTATGATTAAAAAAATCAAAAATAATCAGAGATATTATCAAAATTGAATAATTGCGCTGCGCTATTTTTTATATACCAGCTTCTGCCCGCGACTTCGTCAGCGTAGAAGGTGAAAATATATTTAAATAAAACGTACGTTAACGCACGCTCGCTGCGGAAGATCTCAAAGAGAAAAAAAACCCGGATCTTGAAATATTCTTCATTGGTGCTCCGCTTCTTTTAGTCTTGGCGTGATGATATATAGCCTATACCCTTCCTCGATACATGGGCTATCTAACACTGAAATAATTTTTCAAATCGGAAAAGTAATTCCTGAGCTTAGCGCCTTCCAGCAAACAAACAAACTCTTCATCTTTATAATATTACTATAGATTTAAAAGGTATGCCCATTAATTATGTTCATTTAGTTAGAACTTTACGTGTAGGTTTGCACACCAACGCAGTGGATACATACATCAGACATTGAGAGATGATGTTTTGATTCCCAATTTAACAGATACCACACTGTTTACACCATAATTATATAGTTTCTTTCGGTAGCTCGCTTGATCAATAATAATGTTAAGTGCTCGTATAGCATAGTGGTTTAAGCGGTCACCTCGCCGCTTCCTATTGTGCTGAGTGTTGTGGGTTCGATCCCCACATAGGACGACGCTTTGTATGATCCAAAAATTAAATCAAATTTTATCACCTTAATGTACACCAAGTATAAATTTACAATAAATAACTTAAATTAGGTTAGACAAGTACATATGGCGGCTTTATCGCTAAGAGTCAATCTCTTACAGGCAACCGTGGTATGGAAAAAAAACATTAAGGGGAAAGAGGTATATGGTAATGGCTGGTGTTTAGGAAATTAGGAAATAGAGAAAAAGAGGAAATTAGAGTAGTACATATTTATAAAAGATAGTGATAGTTACACATAGTATATAATTTGTTGTACTTTTGGTGAGTATTTAACGTACTAGAGGGAATATAGTATGTGCAGAACAAGGCTAGTGGTATCACTACGACAGCTGTCAAACATGAAGAGACGTTATGCCTCGTTTCAACAACTTGTATAGTAATAGAACATGTAGATACATAGTACCTAAAGTTCTCAACGGTTTACAAGATAAAATAGTTTATAAATACGTAACAAACGTCCCTTACTTGAAAATGATGAAAAATTACCTCCTAGCTTAGATAGAACACAAGCATACGAGTATACTAGATTAGTTGGAAAATTCATAATGTTAAGACACACAACGCGAACTACCAGAGATATACATACATATATATATATATATAACTGCACGGGTGGCGTAGTGGTGTAAGCGGTCGCCACGCCGCTTACTACTACGCTGAGTGTTGTGGGTCCGATCCCCACATGGGACGACACTTTGTGTGATCCACAAATCGTCGTTCTTCTTTGTGTCCGTTTCATGTATGTTTGTAAAGTCTCCCGCGATACAAGATATATTCCTAATGCGGAAGTTGTCTTTAAAAAAATAAATAAATTTAACAATTTTATTTTGGGTTTAAAAAGCTTTTGTTATTTTCCTTAGATTTTAAAATATATTTTTAGATATCAAAGTCTTTGAAATGCTAATTCTTATATTTCTTTTTCTAATTCCAGATGGCTAGTACGTGTGATAGAAGACGTGCAAGGCGGCGAGCTTCGAACGCGTCAAGGTTTTGTACCATCAGACGTCTTGGAGGAGAAGCAGACTGCAGAGAAGGACCTTAACGCTTTAGCTGCAAGAAGACAGTAAGTATGTCATAAGACATATCGACGACTGATTACAATCTGAATAAAATAGAAAATACCAAACAATTCACAACCATTTTATCTTCTTGGATTTCCTCATTATTTTAAATAAACTGTAGTGTTACCGTCGACTTTTTAAGTTGATTTATAAAGTTTTTTGCGGTCTTTCAGGTTCTGTGCGTTGAACCCAAGAAATATCCTTTTTATATAAATAAATGAAATACTTTGTATATTGAATAAGGAATTGTTCAATAAAAATGCGTGTTGATTTTTGATTGGTAGATTTAATTAAAAAACATTTTTTTGTTTGAAAAACCAATCGGGCTTATAAATTAGCAACCGAAAAAAAATCCTTCTATAAAATAAAATAAATGTGCTTTCTCCATACGCGTTACAAAACTCCAATCCTTAGAAACTCCAACACCTACCACCTACTCAACTAGAATGCAAGAAACAGCTGACGAGTAAGTAACTTTTTATCTCAGCTAATTAACGTCCTCTGTAAATTACCTAACCTATAACCTACAACTCGCAAACAACTCAAAACAAAAATTCTTTGGGTCACCAATTAATTAATTATTAAAAAGCTGAACAGCTGACTACGAATGTTTTAAAATCACAACCCTCAAACATCTAAATATTATATATGAGTCTAGCTGTTGTTGTTAAGACCGAGAAAATAAAACCATTGATTTTTTCCCTCAAAAATTTTTATATTTACAAACCAGCACATATTGTTCCAATTTAAAACTCAAATTTGGTATTCTATAACAATGACGTGCCTTTTGGTCTAGCGGTTAGTGGCCCTGACTGCTAAGCCGGAGGTCGTGGGTTCGATTCCCACCTAGGATAAATATTGTGTGATGAGCACGGTCATTTGTTCTGTGTCTGGGTGTAATTTATCTATGATATGTATGTATTTAAAAATATATAAGTATGTTTATCAGCAGTCTTGTTACCATAGCACAGGGTCTGCCTAGTTTGGGATCAGACGGCCGTGTGTGAGATGTATGAAGTTATTATTAAAAAAGAAAAAAAAATGTTACTAACAGTCTAGGTATACTCGTATCACACGCAACAAAGGAGCACAGTCCATTACACTACACATAGAGAGGAGGATACATCATCATCATCATCATCAGCCTATCGCAGTCCACTGTTGGACATAGGCCTCTCCCATTGCACTCCACTTATATCGATTTTAGGCTTCTCGCATCCAGCTTCTGCCAGCCATCTGCCTGTGGATACAGGTCATGCTAAAAGTTTTAATATTGCACATGCGTATTATTGGTGTATATTTATGCTTTTTAACTTTAGCTCACGAATTACGTCCTTGTCCTGTCTTGTCACATACCAAAGGTTATTCTAAAAATTAGCGAATTCCACGACCTTGCAGTTGTGAACTGCAACAATTTCAACATTAAATACGTGTTAAAATATATAGCTACAACATATCTAACATAAACAGTTGAGAAAGCTCGCGTATGCACCTGCCAGTTACAATGTATCTAATTATTCTTCGCTGGGTAGTAGAATTTCAGTAATGACTTACTTTTAAAGTTTAAAATTTATCTATCTAATCTAGCTATCTGCACTTAACGCCAAGCCACTGTCGTTCAATTGACACGCTAACGAGATGCCATTGAAATGCCACTGACATCGATCTAAATATTGGTATTCTATTAACATAAATTCACAGTGTCAATAGACTGTCTATATAGTAATATAGGTCATCAATGGTGGTCATCAATATATGATTTTTTAACAAATTTAAAATTTGGCGTTTACCAAACTATTACAAAGACATCGACGACATTTTTATCAGTGACAAGTCATCGGGAGGCCATTGGTCTTACATAGGTAGTAGAATAGGAAAAGTGCAAAACTATTCCGACAACATTCCATCGACAGTCTATTGATACAATATTAAACTAGCAGAATTGAGGCCCTGATCTATGAACTGAGAGAGTACCGAACCACGCTGTTCTCCAAAACGATAACAATAAAAAAGGTGCCAGGCTCAAGTAAAATTGGGTTCGTTTCTTCAACCAAATACGTAACTAATGTGTAGTAAAGGGTGCATTATGACCGTTACTCGTGGCTTGTCAGATGAAAAAGGACTTAATTTGAGTATAGGCTACAAACAAATTATCGTGAACGATGATTACCGTACTAAATCTAGTTCTGATTTCAAAAATATCTAGCAATAATATTAACACGTGTAGAACTAATCTTCTTTATGGTTACAACTGGTGACTGTAACTATGAAATTCTCATTATAAACTAGTTAGCTTGTTGAACATTAATGACCTTACGACAAACCACAATATTGACGATGTAAAAGTTTATTGCGTAGCACCGTTAAGTCGGTTTAATTGCTATAAACTTATTTTTAGCTTTCAAACAAACGAGTATTTAACGAGTGGTAAAAAAAGATTAAGTATCGTTTTTAAGAAGATTTAGACACCCGAAATAATGTAACATCGACAATTCTAGTGACGAAGACGATGGAACTAATGCAGACGTTTATTGAAAATAAATTTATCCCATGCTTTATTTTTTTTAAAGAAATCTCGATTAAAATAAACATGTCAGGTGCTGTCATCATCCTCAACTTTAATTAAAGCAATATCCTTAAAAATGCACGCTTGTCATGAATACGTCGTCAACGTACCAAAAATATAACCAATTTATGAAATGATCAGTCGAAGATATTCAGGTCGAAGCGTCAAGTTATCATCTGGTAGATGAATCTTGGCAAGAGTCAGCTTCCGCGTGAATGTACTCTCTCGTCAAATTACGTACATTGCACTCTTTCTTTGGATTATATTACGTTATTCATGTTATAAACTGATGATCCGTCTTTAGCTGTCTTGGCTTCATCTCTACTATAACAAATGTATCTCTTGGTAGTATTTTCTTCAAGTCTCTGTCTTCATCAATCATCAACAGCCTATCGCACCTTTATTCATAAACTGAATTAACTTAGAATTTCAATATTGTGGGCAATCGCATTTAAAGTTTGACATTCATGTACGTGCGAGTTCGTCAAAAAGAGAACGACGATCTCTTATCTCTGCCATTATCATGGTATCGAGTCGGCTGTTGGATTGTTCGTGTTCTACTGATGAAGTTGATTTGGTATTTGTTGAAAACTCGAAAAACGTAAATTTTGAATTAATTCAGTTTATTATTAAAGATGCGCTATGTCATTCCATTGCTGGACACAGGCCTCTCCTTAGAAAGAAGGTTTTGGCCTACTGTACTACGCTGACCAGACGGTTTGGCATAAAGTTTGTTTCAAGTTTTTCTTCTCTTTGCAGTGCTGTTGTCCTGCGTAGTTTGCATCCTTAGTCGTCTCTTCCGACACACACGGGATGAATAGGGGTGGTGACACTCAGTATTCTTAATCCGTCACCACACGGACTCTCTGTCTCTGACGTCTCTGTCTGAGTCTCTGTCTGAGTCTCTGTCTGAGTCTGAGTTTTACCAATCGGTCGTAATATCGTTTATTTTTAGTGACTGTCATTTAATTCCTTTGTTTTAAATAATAACTTATTTAAAACAACATTACATTACAGTTTCTCATTCCAATGACTGTTGTGTTCTTTCAATGTCGTTTATCTAATAGACATGTTTATTGTAGTTTTATTTTAAGACCACTGATTAATGTTGGTTCTTGGCTGCAATTTTATACTTTATGCTTAATTTATCTGATTAATTACAACTGTACATTGAACACAAATATATTTCCCATAAATATCGATCGAAGCCAAGCCAAGTTTGAAATACTTTTTAATTCCGTTATCAGTTGAAGTTAAATTGGTTTTTAAAAATTAAAGGAGTAAAATTTTTAATTTGTTCAAAACTGATTTTTTTAATTAATCAACTTTTTAACTATAATACTTTTTAACTATTTTACTTTTTAATGCTAAACTCGCCAAACTTTGACGTTTGATAGCGATAAGCACCCTTTCTTATACAAATAACACTAAATGAATACTACTTACTTCTAAAATTATACAATATTATATTACATTCTTAAATAATTATATTTAACACTAGCTGACCCGCGCAACTTCGTCTGCGTCTCTCAATAGTAATAAATTTTCTCCGTTTTGGAAACATTCTTCATTGGTGCTCCGCTCCTATTGGTCTTAGCGTGATGATATATAGCCTATAGCCTTCCTCGATAAATGGGCTATCTAACACTGAAAGAATTTTTTAAATCGGACTGGTAGTTCCTGAGATTAACGCGTTCAAACAAACAAACAAACAAACTCTTCAGCTTTATAATATTAGTATAGATTATTGCGGACCTATCTCTCGCTGACAGTGGGTTCGACGGACCCCTCGTCATCGAGAAGTAAATCCTTCAGTTTTGTTTTTGGCACACCTTTGTTTTTCTTAGTAAAAAGCTAATTGCATTAAAAAATTTAGAATTTTAGAAAACACCTTTAAAAGTGTATGTGTGTTGAATAATACCATAGATAGGAATAAACTTTACTACTTTATATGTAAAAAGGGTGGCCTTGTCGCTTAAGGAAACTTTATACAGGCAAGCTTTAAGTGGAAAAAAGATCATAAATGTATAAAATATATTAAATCAAAGAAAATTCAACATAAAAAGTGCAGAAATAGAAACCAATTAACTTAATCATAATTTCTGATATTGCCCTGGACTTTTCAAATATATCCTAATGACTCGAACCGGCCAAAAACGGCACGCCATCTCCAGCTACCAGTAGTCGGGGAACCAGGTATACCCTATAAAGGAAAGCCCGGTACTATTTGTATGTACCTATAATTGTAAATCGTTCCAAACAAAACTTTTATCAATATTTTTTAGTAGGGTTACTAGAATTCTGGAAATAAAACCACTGGTGTTGGGGAACTTTACGTCTTAAATAGACGCAGAACAAGGAATATTGCATCCGAAAACATGTTTTTTTAAATTATTTTCTTTACTAGCCATAACAGTATTTTTATTTGCCCATCGATAATAAAATATAAATTTATTGTGAGTTATTTGATAAAAAATGAACAAAATTTGAAATTTGCCGGTGTTAATATCTTACGAGAGTCGTGGGTTCAACACTACAGAAGATCAAACCTATCAATAGCGAAATATTTCTTTCATCGTACTGCCCAGTTTACTTGGGGCTGTACCCAATGATAAACGGTATCATAAATTCTGCATAATATTTTCCTAGACCCTGACTCAGAGAAAGAACATTCAGGACTGTTGCCAAGAGGTAAGGGCGTGGGAGCTTGTTTTATAGTGACTGACGACTAACAAAGTTCAGAAGGTCTTAAATTTGCTAGATGTCAAGAAATAATTGGCTTAAGATATTTTGTTTGGAGTAGCCCTTCCATAAGTATCTGAGAATATAGTGGCTGCACGTAAATTGTTGCCGATTTTGTCACTAAACTTTTCGGGGAAAGTAACCTATGCGCTTTATTATAGTTTATCTTTATGCCAATAAAACCCGTTCATTTATCCACTTCTGGCGTTACTGAGTAAGAAACATCAGTCCAAACTTTTGAATAATAATAGTAGAGAGATGAAAATATTAATATAACTTTGAAGATATAAAAATATTTGACTGTTTTAATCGTGGGAGAGCCATATGTCTTGACTGGAGTGATACTACGGCGTAACAGAAAACCGGTGTTAAGCACCGGTGTTAATCAGTGACGGATTAAGAATTCGGAGTGTCACCAACCCTATTTATCGCGCGAGTGTCGTAAGAGCCGGCTAAGGGAGCAAACTTACAGCACTGCAAAGAGAAGAAAAACTTGACACAAACCCTATACGGGACGGGTCACGTCTAGCAGCCGAGGTATAGTAGGCCAAAACTTCCTTTCTAAGGAGAGGCCTTTGTCCAACAGTTGACTATTAAAGGCTGTTGACTTAAGGCAATTCTTACGATGTTTTAAAAACTCACTCCGTTGTAATTAAGGTTATTGCAGCCCAAACAGTCCCTCCCCCTGATTCTTGGCTAAAAGGTGGAATTTGTGACTCTTCAGTTGCAGGGATCCATGGGCAGTGGTCAGTCACTTACTATTAGGTGACCCTTTGCTTGTTTGCCCTCCTATTCCATTAAAAATAAATCTTGAACTATGATCTAAGCTATTCTTGGTTTAGATGCAGTTTGATAAGCTTTACTTTATGAGTCAACCCCTCTAATTAGTAAAGCTATTGGTTATATCACAAACCAATAGGAACATACGAGACCAAACTAGTTTTAAAGTGAGTGAACTGCGGCGTAATGCGTCACTACGTAACCTTATACTAACCAATGACAGATACGACCCATTAAACCGGACAACCAGTCACGAGTTTCACACACCTTTATTGCCACAGAAATGACAAGGCAAAACGCGCCAAAATTACCAGAATAATACCATTTGTTGGCAATTTGGTCGAACACCTGATTTTAATATTCTGGCATGTAGAGTTTATGGGCGGGCAACGAGACAAGTTGGGATAATTGGCCGCTAGCATGATTTATTATGTACCGCAAATATGCATGGCTATGATGAATTATTATACGGCTGTTTCTAGCCTATTTTACGGTCGTATCTTTAATGTTAGAAGAATAAATCACAGATAACAGTATAAATTATATTCTTAAATTAGATAGGAAACTGTTGAAATAGTTATTAACTCATAAATACGATGTTAAAAGAAGCAGAAGGACATGGGAAATATACATTATTTATTTTATTTATTTATTTTTATTTATTTACTTTTGAAGAAGGCTTACAGACTAATAAATTTATGGTTTATACAAATGTGTGTTCATGTTGCTAACAACAAGCCTCCATAGATAGGTAACAATACGATACTAGTCTAGTCTAAGTGCCAGGTCATATGACACGTGATACGATATGCGACCCATATATATATATAGGTCATATATATGATCACATACAGACACACATTCAACATATTCTTATACAGATACTAGCATAAACAGATACGAACATGAACATGAGAGCAAACAATAACAAGAAATTCAATTACTTTAAAACAAATACAAAGTAAAACAAAAATAAAACACAATGCTAAATAAAGACAATGCTAACAACCACACAATGCAACAGATGTTTCTATTACATTATGCAGTCATCAGCACAATGTTAATACACTTAATACCAAGAACCGTTTTTGTACTACACTACACACAAATAACAATAAATACTACATATATATTACGCATCAGTTTGAGCACCGCATCCAACAGTAAAAAAATGTCTTGATAAAAGCCGCCTCACTGTGCCCGGCTCCGTACAGAACAAGTCATACTGCTGAGAGCTATGAAGTTCATTGAAGGTACGAGCACTTCGCAGAAGGAAGGAATTACTTCTATAGTTGGAGGTCACGAACGGCACATGGAGCAATGGTCGTTGTCTTAGACTATTTTGGTTAGTACGCAAACTTAATTTAGATAGGAGCTCAGTGGAGTCAATTGTGCCATTCGCGATGTTAGTCAAATAGCAAATATCACCTATAAGACGCCTATATTCTAGTGGAAGGAAGTGATACCGTCTGCAACGATGAATGTAGTCATGAGAACATTATGTAATAAAAGAACCACAAACTGACTTTTTCATTCCCGTTCCCATTCCATTCCATTCTTATTAATTATTCAAAATGGTTATACGTTGCATAAATATACATACACCTTAGATTTCTACCAGTTCAAAATAATTCCAGTCCATCATAAGTTTGCCTGGAGGATACTGTTAAAAGCGATAAGATTGCCCTTTGATCATTATTATTGTGGATCGTACATTTTGTTTTATAATCGCTGTAAAACTGTGGTGTACACGTAATGAAGATGGGAAGTAGCATGTATAAATAAAAATTTAATAATATCACAAATGGAATCAAGGAAGTCTCTAACTAATAAGGGTAGATCAGGTTGGAATGCGCCAGCCCTAGGGCTATAGGCTTTTGTTGCAAGCTTATATCCGGCAATGGGCTGCATGGCCAGGCGCGAGGAGGCGACGTCCGCGAGAATTTACCTAAAGATGGTGCCCGCGCTGTTGCGTGTAGGCGCTGGGAGAGGTCCGGATGTCTTAATATCAGCTGTTCCCGGACCCTTCCTGTCTCAGGCGCAAAGTGGCACACCGTGTGGTTTTAGTTATGTTCGATTCCCACGCACCACCTCGCCGCTATCCTCGGTGGGTGACGGCCAGATGTGGGTTGCCGCACGTTAAAATAAAAAAGGGCTAATTAGTCGATAGATACCTCATCTATCAAATTATCTTGAATGAGAGATATGTAAACACATCTAATGGGGGCTCGTGGCTAAGTGGTAACTTAGTAGGTTAACACACTGCAAAGTGAAGCAATCCTAGCTAGGTCAGGCTATGGATTGGTGACCATTCCTAACACAATGAGACCCCTCTGTGACTCGGAGAGCACGTAAACCCGTTCCCTGTTGCCATACGAACATCTGTGGCAATCATTACGTGTAGTCGGAGCCCTAAAAGTTTCAACAACAGTATTTCTACAAAACTTCGATATCGCCTATCCACTTGGGTTCTAAAATCGAAGTTCAGTCATATCGAAGTAAACTTAAAGCCGAGCCTTACCTGGTTTAGAAATAAGACTCGGAGGAAGACTTACAGTTCTCTAATACTGCCTACAAGTCAAATGTTCCTGGTATCCCTATGTTGTTGAAAATCTACAGAGCATAAAATACTATGCTCAATTCCCCATCCCTTCCTATTTATTTAACTTCACAAATTCAACTATTATGCAATAACCATAACAGAAACCTTCATTCTTCTCCTTCTAATTTGTCCTTCTCACACTACCGGGTTTGTTGGTTCTTCGTTCTCTGTTCAGTCTATCCTCCTGTGGAATGCGCTTCCGGTCGAAGTCAGGACGGTTACCAACCGTTACTCCTTCAAGATGAAGGTAAAGGAGCTGTTGCTGAGTGAGTTGGCAGAATCAACGGGCTCTTAATTCATCACCCACAGTTATAATATTTTTTACGAATGTATCTGTGTGTGTATGTGTATTTATGAGTGTATATGTGTACGTATATATATATATATATGTAAATGTGTTAATCCTAATATGTATATCTATATATATATATATATATAAGAGATTTCCACGTATATAGCCACTCATCACGATATCTCTGGAACCATTAGAGCTAATAACATATTGTTATTTACTTAATTAATTTGCATTTTGTCTCTAGAGCTGTAGTACGAGAGTTAATCGAAACGGAAGAGGAATTCGGAAGAGACATGCAACAAGTCGTATCCCGGTACATGAAACCAATCGACAAAGCCACAGCCCCCAAGCCCGTGTTTGACAATCGTGAGCTGCTGTTCTCCAACTTCAGGCAAATCTGCGAGTTTCATAATACGTGAGTATTCAACAATATAATAATCTGCGTTCATATTGCCCGTGTTATCTAAAAACCCACTTGATATTCAAAACCTGCATTAAAAGATGTTTGTTAATTAATTGCAAATGTATGGGAAGATGAATAGAAATAGAATTGAAGATGAATGAAGCAAACGAGCAGACGGGTCACCAGATGGTAAGCAACTACCGCCGCCCATGGACACCTGCAACTCAAAAGACACAAGTGCGTTGCTGCCTTGGAGTCTCTCCCGCTCGAGTCAGCCGGAGGGGGGATTTGGGCTCCGGTAACCTCACTTACTCAATTTTCATACATATTTCAAAAACTTTAATAAGTGGTTTAATACCACTAACACTGATCTTGTATCACACGATTACACTTTTTCCATAACACGATTAATTTACACTTTTTCTTAATTAAAAGCTTTAAACTGGATACAATTAAATTAATATACTTGTGTCCGTGTAGTGACGGATTAAGAATACGGAATGTTACTCCATCCCGTGGGTGTCGTAAGAGCCGACTTAGGGTGCACAACAACGCAGGACACCAGCACTGCAAAAATAAGGAAAACTTGACACAAACCCTTTTTTTTTTTTTTTTTTTTAACGTGTGGAAATCCCCTCGGACCGTCACCCCTCCGGGGTTTGCGGCGGGGTGGTGTGTCGGACTCGGACCGACTAAAACCACACGGTGTGCCACTCTGCGCCTGTAACAGGAGGGATCCGGGAACAGCTGTTGTTAAGACATCCGGACCCCTCCTAGCGCCAGCCCGCTCCTGGTGCGGGCTCCGTCTCAATACATTTTCCTCTCTTTAGGCGACGTCCGGCACACGCGGACGCCGCCCCCTCGCGGCTGGCCAACTAATGCGGGTGGAGGGGAAACCCACCCCGTCCACCCGCGGCCACACTCAGGGCGGCATGAGGCTGTGGTAGGCGGGCCTCCGCCGCCCGGTTCGCCGGCGGCGGATCGGGTCCGAGTGGAGGTCGTCCTCCCGGGCCCTCTCCGCCGCCTCCTTCCGCGAGATTACTACCTCGCAGAAGGTTGCGACCGCGGTAAAACAACTGTCGCTACCGGCCATGGAGCGTACTACGGCCGGTAGCGAGAGATCCACTCCGATGACTGCATTGAGGGCCCGGCGCTGCGCCGCCCATGCGGGGCAGACCGCCAGCGTGTGCTGGGCCGAGTCCTCACTGCAGTCGCAGTGGTGGCAGGCGGGACTCAGTTCCCTCCCAGCGACCGTGTGCAGGTACTTTCCGAAGCAACCGTGCCCGGAAAGCACCTGCGTCAGTCGGAAGGAAAGGGTCCCGTGCTGCCGCCCTGCCCACTCGGCGATGACCGGCTGGAGAGCCTCCACGGCGGCGAAGCCAGCGCGTTGAGTCTCCAGCCGGAACGACCAACGAGCCATCGTGGCTCGGCGAGCGGCTTCGCGCCACTCGCGCACATCCTCGGGCGGAGGGCGAAATCCGCTCTCCGCCCGGTAGTCAGCCACTCGCCGATAAACTTCGGCGAGCACTTCCGCCTCCAAATCCCACGGGGGAGTTCCGGCCAACGCGCACGCCACCTCCGTCGAAACGGTGCGGTAACCGCGTATGGCTCTGACCGCCATTACCCTCTGAGGGCGCCAGAGGCGTACCCTATTCTGGGCGGTCAGAGCCGCCGCCCACACCGGTGCACCGTACAGTGCCATTGACCGGACAACCCCCGTGTACAGCCGTCTTGTCGCGACGCTGGGTCCACCCATATTGGGCAAAAAGTCGCCCTAGGGCAGACGCAGCGCCGACCAGCTTTGGAGCAAGCTGTCGGAAGTGCTCGTCGAAGAGCCACCTCCCGTCGAGGATCAGGCCCAGATATTTCATCTGGGCCCGAACCGGTACGAGGACCGAGTTGACCACTATTGAGGCGCCAGGGGGTGGACCACGACGGGGCCCATGGAATAACAGGGCCTCCGTCTTATCTAGGGCCACCCGTAAGCCCAGCGCCTCAATGCGCCCGACCACCAGGGAGACTCCCCCTGTGGCCAGGCGCGCCGCCTCTTGGAAGTTTGCCCCCCGGGCTGTCACGAGGGTATCGTCTGCGTAACAGATTACACCCAGCCCGGGGGGGAAATCGGCGCGAAGGGCCCAGTCGTACCCTATGTTCCACAAGAGGGGTCCAAGAACAGACCCCTGTGGAACACCGCACGACATGGGCCGACTCCTCAAATTACCTTCTCGGTCCTCGTACACGACGGTACGCTCCTCTAAGTAGTCTGCCACTAGCCGCCTCAGGTACTTTGGCACCCCATGATAGTGGAGTGCTTCCCTGATGCAGCTGAATGGCAGACTATTGAATGCGTTGGCGATGTCTAATGACACCGCCAACAGCACGCCGCCACAGCTCACGGCCTCTTCGGTCACGGCCCTCAGGCGCAACACGGCGTCGACTGTCGAACGCCCCGCCCGAAAACCAAATTGGGCGTCCGACAGATCGGGGCCCACCTCGCAGAGGTGCCGGACGATGCGGGCAGAAAGAACCCTCTCAAACAATTTGCCCGCCTCGTCCAGCAGCACGATGGGCCTATAGGCCGCGACCGAATCGGCAGGCCGTCCCGGCTTCGTCAGTAGGACCAGCTTCCCGCTCTTCCAGCACTCAGGGAAGCGTCCCGACGCCAAGCTAGCGTCGAACACCTCCCCGAGGCGGTCTGCCATGTGGTTGAGGGCCAGGGCCAGCACTCGGGCCGGTACCCCGTCTGGCCCAGGGGCGGTGTTCTTGGAACGGATCCGTAGAACAGCCGCCCCTACCTCCGATTCCCGGACGGGCGGAACATTGTCCTCCCCGTGCTCCCCGTCGTCTCCGGCCAGGGAGGCCATCGACGGGGGAGTGTGTTCCGCCCGTTGTGGGAAAAGGCCCTCAACCACTTCTCGCAGGAAGCTGGGCTGGAGAGTCTCCGTAAGGGGGGGGCCCGACGCGCGGAGCTTTTGTCGCACCGCGCGGTAAGGGCGACCCCAGGGGTCACGATTAAGACCCTCCAGCATCTCCTGTCTTTTTTCCTCTTTGGCGCGGCTAATGGCCAGCTTCAGAGTTTTCCGCGCCCGTCGGTACTCCTCATGAAGCCGGTCCTCCTCACCGTCTCCACGGTGACGCCGCCGACTGCGCGTGTAGGACCTCCGGGCACGTGTACAGGCCGCACGGAGGTCCGCCAGCTCCTGGGACCACCAGTAGACCTCCTTCCTTGGAGGCCGACGACCTCGAACGCGGGGCATGGCCGCATCGCATACATGCGTAATCGCATCGCGAAAGCGGCCAGCCCCCACGTCGACCTCCTCGGTCGGAGCCTGAGGAGACAGCCACGAGTGAATTATGGCTGCCTCCTCTAGTAGGTCCCGGTTCAGCCTGGCAACAGCCCACCGCGGAAAGCGGGATAAACGCCGCGCCACGTGACCCCTACTGGAGTCCTGGGTCCGGGAGAGCTCAAATCGGATATACAGATCCGAGAGCGTCTCAACCTCTTCCAGGACACACCAGTTCCTTACTCGTGCAGCGAGGACAGGGGTAGCGAACGAAAGGTCCACTATCGACCCCCCCTGCTGTCGCACGCACGTGTTGGTGGAGCCTCTGTTTAGAAGACAGAGGCCCACCGAGGCCGCCCACTCCTCTACGGCCTCGCCCCTGGCGTCCGCCCTGGGGGAACCCCACGCAATGGACTTTGCGTTGAAGTCCCCCAGCACAAGGACGTGCCCAGACGCTAGTCGCCGTATCGAGGTCTCCAAGCTGGTTAGGAAAACCTCGAAGTCGTTCAAACTCCGGTTGGGGGAGAAATAGACACCATATATGGTGATCCCCCCCCACTCGACGGCAACATATCCAGTGCCCTTGTCTCTTAGCGACAAGGGCGGGGAATGAGCCGTCGTGGAACCGACGACTGCCACAGAGCCGTCCCAGTCACCCATCCAGTTTGGACGGGGAGGGACAGAATAGGGCTCCGCGACTACGGCAACACCTATCGACCACTGTGCCATGGTTTGCAGGAAGAGATCCTGCGCCGCGGCACAGTGGTTCAGGTTCGTCTGGACCAGGAGGTTGGAGACTTGATCCATTACTGGATCGTCTCTACAACCTCCTCCATGGGCGACGACGTCGACGCACGAACTACATCGGAGGCAGCCTGGGTCGACTGGCTAACCCCCGACGTCTGCCGAGAACTGCGGGGAGGCTTGCAGCCTCTCTGCCCCATCTAGTGATTGGCGGGCTTATTGCCCGCCGCACACACTGGGCAGTGAGGGGCGGCAGAGCATTCTGCCGCCTTATGCCCCGGTTGACCGCAGCGGAAACACAGTCCGCCGCAGTCAAAACAACTGTCGCACTTGACGCGCGTGTGTCCCGATGCTAGGCATTTGTAGCATCTCATCGGTCTCGCCGCCAGGACTGTGATCCTGGCGCTCACGAAACCGATGAGCAGCCTGCCGGCGTCGGCCAATACTTTGGCCGACGCTACGGGACAGCTGACCCACACGGCGCCAAGCCCTCCTGGACCGGGGCGGATGGTGCCGACCCTGACGTTGTCCGCGCTGCACCCCGTCTTCTCCCGGATTACAGCGCGGACATCTTCGGCCGTCACTGAGTCGTCCAGGCCCGAGATGCGCAGTTCCGCGCACTTGGTAGGCCTGGCGACCCTGACACCATCTGTGGCTGCAAATATTCCCCGCAGCTTCTCAGCGAAGGAGTCCGCCGTCTTTGCGCCTTCGGCCCCAGGGAACTCGAGAACTCGAGCTCCCGTCTGGGCGAGGCGCATCCTGACCCCCACCGTCCCAAACTCGTTGGCGAGGCTGTCCCGGGCCTTCTTGAAGACGGCCGCATAGGACAGCCCGCCGTCAGCCGCCTCCGGGGACACGGTCACCACTACCGCCGCGGTTTTGGGCGGCTGCAGCTTCCGCGGCCTCTTTGCAGAGGCCGTTGCCACCGGTGGCGAAGGCAGGGCTTGGGCTGCTCTTTGGGCAGCCTTTTTGGCCCGCCTTCGGGACTTCTTGGAGCCCCTCGCCTCCTGCCAACCCTCGTTGGAGGGGGCAGGTGCGGAGGGGCCCGGCAGGGGTGTCGGAGTGGGGAGCGGAGGGAATGCCACTCCGCTCCTCGGCGCCGTTTTAGGCCCCGTCTTGGCCGGCACTTTGGCCTGCGCCTTGGCCGGCGCCTGGGACGGTGCCTTGGCCGGCGCCTGGGCCGGTGCCTTGGCCCCCCTCCTCGGCTTTTGGGGAGCCGATGGAGTCGGGGCAGACGCCGCCGCCGCGTAGGAGACGCGGCCTCCCACTACGGGGAGCGCGGTCGGAGCGGCGGCCTTAGGCCGCTGTGCCGACGCGAGCGGGGGGCGCACAACCGGCGCAGGGGGCAGTCTCGCCTCCAGCCCCGCCAGGCGTCCGTCCAGCATATTCCCAACTGCGATGAGGATTTCACGCAGTTGGGAGTCAAATGCCCCTGAGTTGGTGGTAGGGGCAGGCTGGGACGCGGACGGGGCTTCCCGCTCGGGGAGGTTCGCCTGGAAGCGGGCGAACTGAGCGCTCAGCTCGTTCACCCGCTCCGTCAGCCTCTCGTTGGCCACCTGCAGGCGAGAGACGTCGCCCGCTAGGCCCTCCACGACCTCCGACAAAGCGGAGGAGGAGTCCTTAAGGGCCCTCACAAACGAGCCCTTAAGGTTCACGGACTTGGTGGCCACCTTGTGAATGACGGCCACCGCCGCTTTCGCCCTCTCCTGCACGGACACGGGAGCCTGGGGGGCATTTCCCCCCACCGGCTCCCGAACCTTGAGCAGGAGATCCGCGATCTCCTCCTCCGCTACGGCCTCGCCGTCCACCCGTACGTTCCTGTACGACTCCGCGTTTGAGAACGCGGAGCCTGACGGGGTCGAGACCGGGGCCGAGGCAGGTTTGCGTGCCCTCCCTCGGCGGCTGCTTGCCACCTTCGGTGGCATCATCTCCTGGGACGTGTCGGTTTCCTCGTCCCTGGAGCGTCCTCGTTTCCGGCTGTCGCTTCGCTCCGCCTCCATGGCGTCAGCGCCATCCGACGAAACGGCGGATCCGGAGCGCAGCCGATCTGATGCTCTTCGGCTCCCAGAGACCAGCGTCAGACTGACTTCTGGGAGCCCCATCGAGATAGGCGTTCCCGACGCTATCTCACCCTCCGTGGATGACCCATCCACTCCACTTTTCCTCTTCTCCTTAGTTTCAGAGTCCGTTTTGCTTGCCTGTTTCTGTTTTTGTGTTGGTTGCCGTTTTTGTATGTTTTTATTGATATGCTCCATAATAAATCCCACGAGTGGGGGAGAACTAAAGGTCCACCCGGGCAGAGATCCCCCATTACCCGGGCAAGCGTAAGTTTTTAACCCAACCGAGGGGTCCGCAGGTACCTCGGCTTGGAGTGCGCTCGCGACTGAACTTCCCGTCAGCCATGCATCCCCTGGCCACGCACCAGAACACGGGATTCGGGGAATTTTTTAGAGAGGTTATCTTCCTCGCGGTCCGGGCGGTTAAGCCAAGACCCTCGCCCCCGATCAGAGCCGCGAGACTTAACCACAGCGCTCTTCTCGGGATTACGATATGCCGACGGTTGACAGGGAGACTACGTCCCCCTGCCTGCTCGGTGGTAGTGTGAGTACACGCCGAGCCCGTCCTCCTTTCTCCACCGCTGTCAGCGGAGAAACTGTGGCCCCTACAGGGCCCCGCCATCAGGTTTTTTACCGAGGTTTCCTCCTCCATGCTCCGAAGAGCGAAGAGCCAGCAGGGTAACCGGCAGACACGCCCACCCTGCTGGACCAGGCCTTGCCCGAGAGCCGATGAACGGCTGCCTCTTCTGCTAGAATATTGGCCGCTGGCGATAATCCTCTCCTCCAAGAGGACAAGGAGGAAACAGTACCATCGCCAGCGTTTCCAGGGTGCACCACGAGGAGGTTTTCTAGCCCAGCACCCCACACAAACCCTATACCAACCCGTCTGGCCAGCGTGGTATAGAAGGCCAAAACCTCATTTCTAAGGAGAGGCCTATGTCCAGCAGTGGACTATAAAAGGCTGTTGATTGATCAATATACTTGAATTTCTTTCTTTTTTTAATTAGTTTGTATTTGCACCGCAATATTACGTAATTGTTTTTTCTAGGGTACTACTGGAAGGTATAAAGTATTACGCTGGAGAGCCGAAGATGCTCGGTCGTGCATTACTGCGGATGGAGAGAGAGTTTGACAAGCATGTTGCTTACTGCCGTGATGAGGCCCGAGCGCAGCATCTACTCGCTAGTGATCCTGTGGTGAAGCAGTATTTCCAAGTAAGTGAGAACATTACTTTACCATTAATATTGTATTGTCCGTGTGGTGACGGATTAAGAATATGGAGTGTCACCGCCACTATTCATCCCGTGGGTGTTGTAAGAGGCGACCAAGGGAGCAAACTACGCAGGAAAACAGCACTGCAAAGAGAAAGGAAACTTGACAAAAACCCTACACCAACCCGTATGGTTAGCGTTGTATAGTAGACCAAAACCTCCTTTCTAAGGAGAGGCCTATGTCCAGTACTGGACTATTAAAGGCTGTTGATGATGATAATGATATCTAGATTGGAATGTATTGCGTGCTTTTTTACGCATGGTACCGCTGTTTCATACGAATAGTTTGTTAGTTGCTGAGATACTCATGCTGCGGAACTGGATTTTTTTATTCCCGACTAGCTGGAGTTGCAGGATACTAAAGTTCATAAACAAGCAGTATTAGACCTTGGATATAATCTAAAGCTGATAAGAATCTAAAAGTTTCTCATATGAAACACATATATATACACACATATATATAAACGCTGTCTCTAAGGCTGAAATTTATAAAGCGTACTTAGACTTTGCTCAGACTTTGCTTACGCTAAACTTACTTAAGTTCCTGCTCAGTGTAATCTTAGCATTCGAATTTATAGTCCTCTTGGGCTAAGAATTTACTGAGTGTATGCTAAGCAAGAGCTCAGGAAAAAATTTTAAACGTTTCGATTTGCATAGCATATTAATTTAAATTCTTGGTATTTCAAAAATATATTATTTTTAAAATAGCTGTAATAACCTAAAATATTAGTAATCTTATAAATTTTATCTTATTATTGTATTTCAATCAATTAAAACCTTTAGTTTTCATTGATTTTAAGTGATAAAAGGCAAAAATAACACATGTACAAGTAAAACAAAACGTACGTATATTTGACTTGTCAAATGTCATAACAATATTTGAGGTTGTCTCGTCTCGAGTTCATTCGCAAATATATCAATTTCTTGTATTAACTTTTTATCTTGACCCTGGCACACCCTTACGGACTTCTGTTACAACGCTTTCGAACTAGATTACGGCTTTTCTTCCTGGACAATCGAACCTTTTCACATTGACTCTGGCATATTAATCGTAAGTAATCGCTAAGTCATGGATTTTGGTGACTTAGACTATGCTAAGCATTTGCTCAGCTTGAGCTAAGCATTATGACTATAAATTTCAACGCACACTTAACTCGTGAGGTAAGTCTGAGCAAAGTCTAAGTACGCTTTATAAATTTCAGCCTAAGTATAAGTAGTAAGTAGTAATAAATTGATAGGTAAGGTAAATTCAATTCGGGACTCCTCTGAAAAGTCACGCCTTCTCGTCACGGTCTCTCTGCAAAGATGCCTTTTGAACTTATTCTTAGCTGTCCTTACTACTACGTATTATGTAATACTGTGTGGCAATACAGGATATGCCGCAAATAAATGTACTTGCAAAGCCTAAACCGCTACCAACTTTACACGATGGTACTAATTGGGCTGCAAACTTGAAATTTTGACAGGTGATTCTAAGGAATGAACGGAATGAAAGGATGTAAGGAATGAACGGTTGGATGGAAGTTTGTCATTTTCAAGTTTAGAAACACGAAATGAGAGTTAATCCGCGGGCAATATATTGATTATGATAAAAAAGAAAGTCGGTATTTTAAATCTCTTCTTAAAAAACCCACCTCATTTCTGTCGAACATATCTCACATTTTTTAGTTTTCTATTGGTCATATAATAAATACTAGGGATGAAATAAAATCACAATAACATGTATAAATAATATGATATGTGAATCATATCATCGCACCTATGACTGATTAACAAATTCAGTTCTACTTAATTATTATTATTACGCTAGCACAAGGCTTCCGAAAGGTCTAAATCTTTGATAAAAAGAGTTTTGATAGATTTTATATAATGTCATTTATCTTTGTCTGTGACGAAATCACAGTCTTATGTAAAATCGCTGAGACTAATACAAATCATTTCATCAAATGAAAATGATTTAAAAGTAGCAATAATTTCCATGTCTAATAGGTTCGTTTTTCTGCCTTTTTGTTCAGTAAGGTTTTTTATTACCCTTTTCTGTTTTTTTAAATAAAAAATAAATGTTAAGTGGAAATAAATCCTCTAAAAAAAAGTGGAACCGACTTTAACACAATACTGACAACGAGCACTAAAAATTAAAAAATAATTACAAACCTGAGCAAAAAACTATAATAAGTAGGTACTCTCAATATAACAGGTAACATTATAATAGCAATGGTGCCTTCTGGTCTGTTTCAAGTCGGTGCGCGTTTGAAACATACAAATAAAAAGCAAACGGACGAATTGATGGTTTTTAAGTCGGTTGAAAACTCAGTAAACGGTAAAAAAATCTGTTCACTTCACTGAAATCCTATAAGCTAAATATAACTTATCGCCACCAGCGACATCTATTAACTGTTTATCATAAGTGAATTTTGGATCACAGCAACGCCATCTAGCTTTAGTACACACATTAATTGTTAGAAGATGCGCCATCTATGAATTAAAGAGAGCAACTTGAAACTAGTCTTTATTTCAAATTGAAGCTTGGCTTTTGATGTGTCATCTTAAAGTTTACTAGATGGCTGTAATTGTATCTTCATAATTTCAGTTGTTTTTTTTAAATGAAAACATTTTAAATGTAATCTGTTTTATTATATAGGTAGTAGCAATATTCCACCAGTTCTTATTTAAATATTTTTTGTTTTCGTTCAAATAATGAATTTGTGTATCCTATAACAGTTGAAAGCATTAGGATTGCTGGGGCGCCGACAAGCTCGGTTGTTAGGCAATCAGCCAAAAACTAGAATAGTTTGGATGCCGCCGCATCTCGGGGCGTGAATGCTGTCAATTTCGCCAGTCATATTGAGGGCAATCACACCATTTTGCATATAAATACGATAAAATTGGACGTTTAAGTGTCCAGAAATGACAAATCTATAGAGTTGATAAATCAAGTGATAGCTCTGGAATTGTGGTGCACAAGATTTCTAATGGTTTAGATGGTTTCAGATGGTTTAGACTAAGTGAAAATCTTGCGCAATACTTTTTTAGAGCGCTTTAAGATCGATCTGAACCGGAGGCAATTTTAAGTAAATGTTATGCCTTGGTACTTACCAATTCAGCGTTACACATTACGTTCATTATACCAAAGACCATATTCTCAAGGAATATGATGAGTACCAGGTGTTGAGTCTTCACGCAATAATGAGTCGACTCATTAAAAAAAAAAATATTAACTTAATCAAGATCTAAACTGTGTACAATAGTCTGAGACCCAAACACTCGGACTAGCTGAACACCTCGACTCTAGAGATAGTCCTCCTTTTCGTGACATTTTAAATATAAAATTATGTGCTAAAAGCTAGGACAATAAATTGAAAAAGGTAACAACATTTTTTTAAATAAAGTGTGTGTGTGGTCTGTATATCATAATATAAATAATTTTAATTTTGTGATTAATTAGGGATTTCATTTATATAATGAATCGAAGTAATCTTTCGGTAAGCCACTGAAATTTTACTTTGGTACGTTAATGTAAGAAGCTACTTTAATAGTCCTTTTTACAGTCGTCTAAGGTCAGGATAGAAGATAAGACATTTATTTAGACGGTTGTAAAGGCGGATGACTTCAGGAAAATAGCGGGTCCAACATGGATCCGAACAGCAAAGAATAGGACAGAATAATATAATAATATAATAATAATAATAATATAATATTCTACCACATACACACAACGCCATCTAGTCCCAAACTAAGCAGAGCTTGTACTATGGGTACTAGACAACTGATATAAATACATATATACTTTTTTTTTTTTTTTTTGTAAATACATACATATTATACATAGAAACACCCAGACCAAATCAAACATCAAATGTTCATGCACACAAATGTTTGACTTGAGCGGGAATCGAACCCGCGACCTTTGGAATAGCAGTCCGTTACACAAACCACTACGCCATCCAGTCGTCAAAATGAAAAAATGAAATGAAAAAAAAAAAAAAATGAATGGAGATCTTTAGAGGAGGCCTTTGTCGGAAGACAAGTGGAAGAGTGAATACCGTTTGCCTAATGCAATATACTATAACAGTTAATTCATTAATAATAAATTAATTAAGATAGTAAATAGTTACGAGTACGAATAAAGTTAATAAGTTAGTTAGGCACATTTAGACATATTTTTGTAATTTAAACTAAAGACAACAATAAAGGCAGACAACAATAAAAATATTTTATTTATTTTTTATTTATTTATAAAGGCGGGTGATGAGTACATAAAAAATCCTACCGGCGAGCGTTGTTCGATGGGATGAGATTACCTAAATTCTTTCTTTCCTATGCTTAGCGGTTAGTAGTATGTTTATACTTTTGCACAAGAATGCAATTTGCTCTTAAAGTTGCCATGACCTATAAGGAATTGAGCCACACAGTGGCTACACAAGGCGGCTTAAAAAGAAGAAGATAGAACTGAAAAGGGATAATTAGATTTGTCCCAGTGTTGCTGCCATTCCTCTTTCATTCTCATCTTGAAGCAATCTTGTAATTTTATCGAGATCTCCTGCACCCAAAAAATCGCATTCCATGTTTTCTAATGTTGAATAAGGCACGTCTTTGCACCTCGAGATCGGCGGGAAGCACACCTGCCAACACCAGCAACCCTCAGTGCTAGCCTATAAATATGTCTTGCACAAGAATGTCGAGTGCGAGTCGTTGGCCTTGTAACAGCTTGCGACGCACAGCGCCTACAATAGCCCCATCGGCCCATTCAGGTGCACCATAGCACATGGAACCTAGATATAATGCCATGGGCGGCAGTAGACACTTAAAATCTGGTGACCCATTTGCTCGTTTGCCTCCAATCCTCCAAAAAACATTATCCCGAAAAAAAACCTGTGCCCAGAGATTACTAAAATAACTTTCATGGGAACAAAGCTGAAAATTAGTGTCAATTATTACAACTGTTAACGCCATTTTGAATATACAACAACGTAAATCAAATAAATGTGACAAGCGTCATTATTCGAGAGGCTGGTACTATAACTGATACTGGTAATATTGCATTGGAACTCGTTTAGCTTTTGAAGTTTTATTTTTTTTGTAAAAAGACAACTCTCGCATTAGGAATATGTCCTGTGACGCGGGGGACTTTACAAACATACATAAATAGGACACAAAGAACACCCAGACTTAAAACAACAATTTGCAGATTACACAAAGTGTCGTCCCATGTGGGGATCGGACCCACAACACTTAGCGTAGTAGTAAGCGGCCACTACGCCATCCGTGCACTCGAATATGTAACACTATAATTCTTATCCGTTCCGAATCCTTAAGTATTTGGATAAATATTTACGTCATTGGATACGTAATCGTATAGATAATCATTAGCCAAGCAAATAATACACCAACAATACTTTTTTCCAAAATACTCTCTTCATTTTTTGTCTTTGGAAATTATTAATTTTACCTATCAAAGATGACGTTCGGTTTGCTGTCTCTTAGTACGAAAAAGAAAAATTAGAAAAAATGATAGATATAGGTCACTGGACTTCTTTCTAGGGTATACCTGGTTCCCCGGCTATTAGTACCGGTTTTAGTCGGTTCGAGTCCGACATGCCACCGACAGGTGGTATCCGAGGGGATTTCCGCACGGAAAAAGAAAAAAAAAAAAAAAAAGGTCACTGGACTTGTAATAGGGAAAGTAACAGTGCTAGTGATGGCATAACAATTTATGCTGATCAAATTCACAGTTGTGGTAAAAGAAGATTACTAATCAAATATAGATTTATTATTATTTATCGTCAGTACTTCAATACTCGGAGAGCACTTTAAGCCGTCACGTCCCAGTTACCATACGCAAATTTGTGGCAATCGCTACCTGTAGTTGGCGCCCTAAAATATCCGATAACAATCTACAGAATTTCAATATCGCCTAGTACTTGGGTTGTGGACGTCTGATCGCAGTCGCTCCACGTGAAAAAATTAAGTTCAGCCATGTCGTAGTAGTAGGACGATTATCAAATAAGCGTAGAATGTTCTAATACGTTGTTCATTTCCAAATTGTTCAGTTAGTAGTCACCATATATTATTTTAGAACAGTTTAAGCTGTCTACGATAATTTGAATACATTGTATTATTCCGTCATAATACTATTGATGATTCAAGTTTTTTTTTTTTTTTAAAAAGACAACTCTCGCATTAGGAATATGTCCTGTGACGCGGGGGACTTTACAAACATACATAAATAGGACACAAAGAACACCCAGACTTAAAACAACAATTTGCAGATTACACAAAGTGTCGTCCCATGTGGGGATCGGACCCACAACACTTAGCGTAGTAGTAAGCGGCCACTACGCCATCCGTGCACTCGAATATGTAACACTATAATTCTTATCCGTTCCGAATCCTTAAGTATTTGGATAAATATTTACGTCATTGGATACGTAATCGTATAGATAATCATTAGCCAAGCAAATAATACACCAACAATACTTTTTTCCAAAATACTCTCTTCATTTTTTGCCCCTTTAATTTATTATTATTTATTAATTTATAATTTATTATTATCTTCTACATTGTGAATAAAACTACTAAGTTTAAATTACATTGATGATTTTCATGATGCAGATAAATAGATGAATATAACTTGGAAAATTCCGTTAAAATCTTTAATATAATTAGATGAAATTAAAGTTTAAAAATATTTAGTATAGTTTTTACAATTAAGTTGGAATTCTTTTCGTCGGTATAGACTTTAATAGCACGCGCAGGCTTATCATCTTTCTTAATCATCATCAACAGCCTTTAACAGTCCACAGCTGGACATAGGCCTCTCGGTTTTGGGCTACTATACCACGCTGGCCAGACGGGTTGGTATAGGGATTGTGTCAAGTTTTCATTCTCTTTGCAGTGTTGTTGTCCTCCGTAGTTTGCTCCCTTAGTCGGCTCTTACGACACCCACGGGATGAGTAGGGATGGTGACACTCTGTATTCTTAATCCGTCACACACGGACTTATTAAACTCCTACCAATTACTAAATACTGCGACTACGAACATTAATTCTACATTCAACAAGACAACACGAACTAATATAAATTTACGACAATCTGTTAACCGTGAGAAATGCACGTAAAACAATATATATCTGTTTTTTATAACTCATTAACCGAACAGAGACCAAATACGTAATGTGTGAGAGAAATTGCTGGATGTTTACAAACTGTCGTGGAGTTGTGCCAACCGTGGAACTGTGTTATAGAACCAGAGCTCGTCATCACTAGATCTTCGTCATTAGATAAAAGCTCATGAGCCCTACAAAAGTAGGAAGGATTAGCGACTATGCACCTCTCACTGATCTTGGTGGCTTGGGTAACTATGAAGCAACAAAGATAGTTAAAATTGAAATCTACAAATGGACTGACTCGACTGGATTGATAGGTTAGGAGAATCGGATGTCTGTCCCTTAACACAAAGGGAGGACCCTCCGACCAGGCCAGGTGATCATGCCTGCCGGGGCCGCGGCTTAACTGACTCCTCCTTCTCCAAACTCACTAATTAGCATATTATAACACTTCCCAATATCATTCAAAAAATTATTAATATTGCGATACAAGATTAGCAGTTACTCTGTAGTTCGGTGTGTCTTCGTTAGATGGCGGTGTAGTATGTTTCTTCGTTTTGCAGAAAACCTGTGTAAGTAATTCTTTTGTTGCTTTTCCATAAATGAGTAAGGTTACTGGAGTTAAACCTCTCCTCCCTCTGATTCTAGACTCAAAAGGCGGCAAAGCACTTATGTGTCTCTTAAGTTGCAGGCGTCGGTGGTAGTTGCTTACAATCATGTCACTCACCATCTGCTAATCCACTAGGCATACAAAATTGTACTGCGAACAACGTGTAAACAAGAAACAGAAGAAAAAGGTGGAACAACATTTCCAACCAAACAAACTCACATCCATATTTGTAATAATAATAATGCACGGATGGCGTAGTGGTTTAAGCGGTCGCCACGCCTTTTCCTACTACGCCGAGTGTTGTGGGTTCAAACCCCACATGGGACGACACTTTGTGTGATCCACAAATTGTTGTTCTGAGTCTGGGTGTTCTTTGTGTCCGTTTCATGTATGTTTGTAAAGTCCCCCGCGACACAGGATTTGTTCCTAATGCGGGAGTTGTCTTTTAAAAAAAAAAAAAAAAATTGAATCATCAATAGTATTATGACGGAATAATACAATGTATTCAAATTATCGTAGACAGCTTAAACTGTTCTAAAATAATATATGGTGACTACTAACTGAACAATTTGGAAATGAACAACGTATTAGAACATTCTACGCTTGTTTGATACTCGTCATGCCTGAGTCAAATCCAAAAATATTGTTGCTGTATTATTTGCTTGACTAAATGTTGACTAATGATTACAGGTTTGTACGATTACATATCCAGTATGACGTAAATATTTATCCAAATACTTAATGATTCGGAACGGATAAGAATAGTGTTACATATTTTCTTCAGAGTTTATTGAGACAATGGGCGGGGGGTACTCTTTACATGAGGTTTTCGGTTAGTACGAGCTTACTCCACAAACTGTAACTAGGCCCAAATTGAAATCATTATCATAATCGTCGTACGACATGGCTGAACTTAATTTTTTCACGTGGAGCGACTGCGATCAGACCTCCACAACCCAACTACTAGGCGATATTGAAATTCTGTAGAATGTTATCGGATATTTTAGGGCGCCAACTACAGGTAACGATTGCCACAAATTTGCGTATGGTAACTGGGACGTGACGGCTTAAAGTGCTCTCCGAGTATTGAAGTACTGACGAAAAATCTATTTCGATTAGTAATCCTTTTTTACCACAACTGTGAATTTGATCAACATAAATTGTTATGCCATCACTAGCACTATTACTTTCCCTGTTACAAGTCCAGTGACCTATATCTATCATTTTTTCTAATTTTTCTTTTTCGTACTAAGAGGCAGCAAACCGAACGTCATCTTTGATAGGTAAAATTAATAATTTCCTGTGTTAAACTTTATAAGCTGTAAGTCATGTGATAGAAAATTTTACTGAAATATTGTTTATGGTAAAGAGAGGCAAAGGAGAGGACGGGTCACCTAACATTATTTAACTGACGTCGCCTGTGGACACTTGAAACTCAGGAGTGACAACTGCCGCCCTTTGAATCCCTCCCCCTCGAATCAGGGGGAGGAAGAGGGGGTTGGGCACCAGTAATATGACATTCTGTGAAATCAATTAAAGAATTGCCTAACACTGGTTTTATGTGAGGCCGTGGTCTCACTCAGGTCGAACCGGCTTATTCGTGCCGAAGAATGGCCCTCCAACGGGTTTATACGATTATTCTTTAAGAGAAAAATAAATGAATAGATATATAATATTATGATCGAAACCAATAAACAGCTTCTTAACTTCAAGGAGTAAATCACAATGTATGATTATCACAAACGTATTGAATACTTCCAAAAAGTCAACCAAACATTTTGCACGGTAACTTTAGCGTCCTTTACGTGTTCACCATTATAATATCATATTTTTTTAAACAATTTTAGTTGATGACTAAACAAAAAATGAAAAGTAACATGAATACAGAAGAAAAGTGTAACCAGTTACAAATGTTGACAGAAAACAGAGTTAAGAAGACGGTGGAGAGTAATTTATACTTTAGGACACTATTTTCATGCGATCTTGACATAGTGTGACGCAGATTCTTCTTAACCAATAACCCTATGGAACAATGGGTAGTAATAGCTGGTCAGGACTTCGACTATGAAAATCTTACTCACAGAGCAGACTATACATAACAGTTTATCTACTAGGTGCTTTGAGTCCTTTCGGTCATGCTAATAGCAGAGATCAAAACTAAAAATACATTCCAATTTTGACTCATAATTTTTGAGTCGGCGATTCCTATGTTCTTTTGTAGAATATGAAAGTTTTTAGTTTGATGTTAGCTTTTTTTGCAACTATTGAATGTATGGTACTGATCTTCATCATTATGTCAATAGATGTTATTAATCTTTGGAAGTACTTAATTGTAATAAAAAAAACATTCTAAGGAATTATTGGTTACAATCAAGATTTGCGTTTTATTCTTTATACTCGTATTATTAGATTATGACCCAAATGTAATCAGTGTCCATATTGATATTTACGTTGTAGCTGACTGTTATTATAATGCAACAACACTGAACATCTTACAAATAAAGTTTTGAATTCATCTAAATTTCAAAAGTGTTAATGCAATGACCTAACATAGATGGAATGTAATAAATAAATGTGATTCTTATTTAAAACGATGATTATATTAAATTTGTAGTACAAAGAAAATTGAAAGCATCTTTGTCTGAGAGAAAATAACATATCTTTTGAATTATTAACATCCATGATCAACATCTATCATAAGCTATCAGGCTTATCATTTTAATTTATTATTTACAAAACATATCCTATCTGCTGTATTCCTCTGCAAATGAATGGTAGAGTTCATGTATTTCAGTATGTATTACATATTACTTATGTATTAACTTGTATTTATATAAGTAGGTATTGCTAGGACTGACTGCTGTATATAATTAACACTACTTTGTTTTATAACTGTCAAAGGAATGCTGTTGTGCTGTATAAATATTTCTCTTTTTGTTTTTAGTTTCCTTTACACTTTTTGCCACCAAATCTGCCCATGAAATTACCTATTTACAGTCTATTTGTCCATCCAAAGGTTGCTTGTAAGAGATTGCTTTTTAGCGATAAGGCCGCCATTTGTACATGGTCATTAACTTGAAAGACTATTGTATGTATAATAACCTGAATTGGTGTACAATAAAGATTATTCTTTTCTATTCTATTCTATCAAAGATTTGTCATAAAAATCACCTTTAGAACTGTCTTATTGGTTTGCACAACAATCAACTCTTAATTTTAACAGATACTTCACATGCCAATCATTATAACGAGAATAGAGCCATAAATATAACCATCTACTGTCATCAAGGATATTTCAAGGTTTGTTTGTCGACCTTGCGAGCCGGACACAAGCTCTCCCGTATTCCCCGATAGATAACACAAGACGTCACCAGTGAAATGGCGTTATCCTCTAAAATTCATCGAGTGAGCGGCTGTGCTATGTTTAGCGCCCGAAGTGTACAGGGGCAGAAGAAGAACAGTCGCTTGGAAACCGCGGACGCGACCACCTCGCTCGCTCCAGCGCATCTTCGACCTTCGACCACTCGCTCGAGTGAAGTGTGTGACTGTGATAGTGTTCTCGTGATACCTTTACTGACTGCGCCGCGCTCAGGTACGACTATAACATCACAATTAGCATTAGACGCTTTATAATTAGACCGGCTGTTGGCTGTGGCAAAAATATCGTGATTTCTTTTTCCCCTTCAATTCAATGTTACGGGTGTAGTGTTACAAGCCTCGCGTCTGGTTTATTTCTAGTTTAGCGTGGGAGGAGTTTCGCGGCAATGTTATATTTTTCTGTTCGCGGTGCCGTGAGCACGCTCTGGGGAGCGCGGGCGCAGGATATGTATTAAAGCTGCGCTCAATGACCTTGACCTAAATAACACATATGTTTTTAAGGACAGAGCTCAGAATAAATTTACACTTCATCTTTTTTGATTTTTTTTTATCTTTATTTTGCTAAAATATACAAAAAAATATTTTAAATATATGTATATTATATTTAATCTGACCGCACGGACGGTGGTTTACGCGGTCGCCACGCCGCTTCTTACTACGCCGAGTGTTGTGGGTTCAAACCCCTCATGGGACGACCCTTTGTGTGATCTACAAATTGTTGTTCTGAGTCTGGGTGTTCCTTGTGTCCGTAAATTCCCCCGCGACACAGGATATATTCCTAATGCGGGCGATGTCTTTTTCAGAAAAAGAAAAAAAAATGAAAATGTCAATGGAAAAATCGAAAAGCTTCGGGATAGCCTAGTTTAAAATAAAAATTACCGTTCTAGTTAAAATATTCAAATAAGTCCTTGACTCTTCTATGGCACAGATTTGATAGAATAGGCCTTACAGAGTACTCGTAAATGTTTCGTTCGTGAAATAATTTCTTCAAAATGAACGAACGAAACTAAATTTTTCTACTAAACTAAGGCTTCATTAAACTAAACGTTACAGCAACTAAATTTAGATCATGTTTATTAAATAGAATAGTGATAAAATTAAAAAAATGAGTTCTTTGCCAAACCGTTTCGTCAGTAATAGTTGATTTAATGTGACTGATTACTGACTAAAAAAAGCTATGAATTCTACTCCACCATGATCTTGGCTGACCTTGATTATGGAATTTAAAAAATGACTTCAATTATTGATACCTTTTCATTTTCTTTTAATTCACGACCTTTATAATTCTACAGATCGTCTGGCGGTCAAATTTCATTTGTTTCATTTGATTGACTAGTATAACTTGAGCTGTCATTGTTAATTGTTACTTAGACGAAGTGGATGGCGTAGTGGTTTGTGTAACGGACTGCTATTCCAAAGGTCGCGGGTTCGATTCCCGCTCAAATCAAACATTTGTGTGCATGAACTTTTAATGTTTGATTTGGTCTGGATGTTTCTATTTATAATATGTATGTATTTACAAAATATGTATTTATATCAGTTGTCTAGTATCTATAGTACAAGCTCTGCTTAGTTTGGGACTAGATGGCGTTGTGTGAATGTGGTACAATATTATATTATAATGTATGGATTTCTGAATCACGATTCGTAACAGAACATCTTGTTTACTGTATACGAGTATGAGCAAATTAAATATTAACATTTTTTTTTTATTATTGTTATTTAAAAAGTTTTGGATTTCTGCACTTCATGTACACAATATACCTTTATAGATATGAAGTGTTCCAAATATGTTATATTCCGTACGCCATATTTGTTTAAAGATGGAAACAAAGCAGTTTCTTTACATATCACACAGAAATACTTAGAATTGTTAGTTAAATGAAGCAGCAAAGATCTACTTTTGGAATTTTTATAACTATGGCGTATTTAAGCAACACTTTACTAAAGTTCAATTTTCAATAGTCAATACATTAATGGAATTCCATAATGTGATACAGATATCAAGCTTATAATTAGGTTACAATTATGGACCCTTTTTTTGATACGTGTGGAATCCCCCTCGGGCCGTCACCCCACCCGGGTTTGCGGCGGGGTGGTGTGTCGGAATCGGACCGACTAAAACCACACGGTGTGCCACTCTGCGCCTGTTATAGGAGGGATCCGGGAACTGCTGTTATTAAGACATCCGGACCCCTTCTAGCGCCTGCCCGCAACGGCGCGCACCACCTTCGGGTAACAATTATGGACCCTGTCCGGCACAGCACAATGGAGGAGAGAGGAAGAGTTTGGAACAATTATTATTATTTGAGTCTAGACAAAGTTTATCTAGTCTAGCTAAAGTCTAGCTACAACGTAATTTTTTTAGGGTAGAGGGGTAAACCTTTGAGCTCCCTCCCCTTGAAATCACTGACAGTGGGGTTTGGACTCCGGTAACCTTCCTCTCTTAATGGAAAGTAACGAAAGAATTGCTTAAAAATAATTTTCTTTGATGCACTCCGGTCGAGCAGACCCATTTGTCTCGAACCATGGCTCTCCCATAACTAAATAAGTTTTTTTCGGGTAGGTGCTAAAAAAGTTAATACACACATTTAAGAGCTCTTAAATATTTTAATTAATTTAATGAATTAATTTGTATAATTTCAACAAGAAAAACCTAATTAAGCTTAGCTTAGATGTACTTACAGTTTTCTCAGTGATTACATGATCTAAGAAAGGTTTTTTAACCACCTGCCAGCACAACAAAATATTATCTCACAAGTGTTTCAATAATCGCTTTGAATACTACAATTATCACTATGTCTCAATTGTCTGATATACAAGAAGCACAGAACAACTTAGAAGACAGCTTTTCAAGGAGGATGGCTCAGTTGGAGGCACAACTGCAATCTGGTGGCAATAGCAAGGAGACAGTGGCCAGGGTGTCGGAGGAGTTCAGAACTTTTCGTGAGCTGATGTTTTCGATGTTGGGTCTTCTTCGGAAGCAAATAAATGAATGCACTAAGATGGTTGATGCTATGGAGACTCGCCATCGTCACAAATCGCTTATCTTCTTGGGAGTGCCCGAGGCTATCAAAGAGGACTGCAGTACAACCCTGCTTGAGGTCATGAATAAGAGGATGGGTCTTCATGACATCTCACGGCTCAACATCAGGCACTGCCATCGCATTGGCGCCCCCTCCAAGGAACATCGTCGCCCCATACTGGTAAGATTTACTACCGCAGAGGCTAGATTCGCAGTCTGGAAGTCCAAGACATCGTTAAAGGGCTCTGGCTTCTCGGTAAGAGAATTTTTAACTAAAATACGTCAGACAGCTTTCACCATGGCCCGGCAACATTTCGGCATGTCAGCTTGTTGGACACAGGACGGCGTTATAGTTATCAAAGCCAGCGATAACAATCGGTACAAGGTGACATCCACTGATGAGCTGAAGCCCTTGCTAGTCAAATTTCCAAAGTCATCATCCACAAGCCCGCCGGGTAAGCAAGCCGGTAATGCAAGCTCGGGCATCAATAGCAAAAGTTCGCGAAAACACTAGTTCTGTGTAACACCACTGTTTGTCGCGTCCCGGATACATTACTTTTGTTGGGTTTATATAATTGTAATCATCCTTACTCGCTTCATGTGTTGTATCATGTTTTGTTTCTTTAACATTTCTCTTACTTTCTCGTATTTAAAAATTGTTGATGATTGTGTTGTGACTCGTGACAGGTATCGCATCTGTCAAATCGACGTTTTGCTCATTCGTCATTCATTACTGGTGCGTTCCGTTTCTTGTAACTCAAACGTAAGAACACGAAGCTCTGAGCTATTTTTAAATTAACCTCTTACATTGTCTAAAATTATTTCATTTTTTTTTCTGTTTTTGTCAAACTTGTTTGATTATGGCTTATTGTATTATGTCAGTCTTGTATGTGTAAGCTGGCGGGTGGTGTAGAAATACGCACCAACTTCGGTCAAGGTAATTACTTATAAACTATATATTATTAGATATTTATGTAAAATATTATTTATACGTATTTATTTTTTTGGTATTATATTAGAGTTAAATGTATTGTATTTAATATGTGTACTCGATTCTAATGACTGTTGATGATAATGAAGTATACTTTTCTGCTGATGACTCCTCCGGGGATGAGAGCTTCAGTTCCCTACCTGACACTTTGGGTGACCGATTACGGCAATCATTCAACAACCAATCACATTCTTTATTAAATGTGTGTCATATTAATGCTCAGAGTATTCCCAGCCACTTCAGTGATTTGACTGAAACTTTCACTGACAATAATGTGCATGCCATCCTGGTTTCGGAAACTTGGCTTAAGCCGCACCTACCTTCCACCTCTTATTCTCTCTCTGGCTTTGTACTAATTCGAAACGACCGATTGGAATCAAGAAGAGGGGGTGGGGTTGCCATTTACCTCCGTAGTTGTTTCCCCTACAACATCCTTGCCACTTCCTCTTCCGATCCTTCTACTACCGCTGAATACCTCTTCCTCGAAGTTTGTGTCAGAGGTTCTAATGTTTTACTAGGGGTAGTTTATTGCCCCCCTGCTGTCAACTACTTCTCCAGTCTGGAAACAGTTCTGGAATCTTTAGGGTCAGAATACTCACACCACGTCATCATGGGCGATTTTAACACCAATCTCCTAGCACTTAATTCGCCCCGTACTCGTAATCTACTCCACATCATCCAATCCACTAGTCTCCATGTCCTCCCCCTTCAAGCAACTCATCACAACATTGAGCACCAAGACACTTGGCTTGACCTAATTATCACCTCTGCTCCTAGACTTGTCTATTCCCATGGTCAATATCCTGCTCCTGGATTTTCCCATCATGACTTGATCTTCCTTTCTTATATCCTGAAACCCCCTAAATCCGTTCCCAAATTTCTGCATATTCGTAATTTCAGACGAATGGACGTCAAAAACCTGTGTGCAGGCGCTTCTGCATTAGACTGGACAGACTTGGCTGCAGCTACAGACATAAACGAAAAAGTTACTCTTTTTAATGACGCAGTTCTTAACCTGTATGATATCCACGCACCTGTGAGGAAAGTCAAATTGAAGCGCCCTCCGGCTCCATGGATGACAGAGGAAATTCGAATGGCTATGAGACGGAGAGACCGTTGTTTTAATGGGTACAGGAAGGATCGCTGTGAGGAGAAATGGAACCTTTTTAAAGCTGCTAGGAATCGGTGTAACCAGGTGATACGTAACGCAAAACGCAGCCATATCATTCAAAATATAGA